ATTGACCTTTGTTTGGTGTAATGAGAAACCACATGTGAAATATTAGGTGGGTGGTACTCTAATATGGTCAGATATCCTTGATAGGAAAAAAAGATAGCCTGAAATTTTACCTTGATCCACATATCAATGACTGCTCCACTGGATTTGTTAACCTTTGGTAGGTAGAGTTTAGCTACAGTAGATCAAAACAAGTAGTTAGCTACTCCAAAAATAAATAAAAAAGTAAACCAAGTAATATGTACTACATACTTGAGGAATTTGGCTGAAGAGCACGGAAGCCCTTGGCACCTAGTGATAAAAGCATCGCTGCCTGACCATATGCCATGCCACAATTCACTGTGTATACTTTGGACTTACAATACTGTTGTCAAAAAGAAATAAAAAATTAATGGCTGGTTAAAAGTTATCCTGATATATGTTGGAGGAGACCAACGAATAATGTCAATGCACCAAGTTACCAACAACAAAATGCTCCCTTCTCTACGTCAAAAGAACCATGCCCAAGGGAGATAATTAACTTACAGCTATGGTATCAGCGATGGCATATGCCTCAGTTTCAGATCCGACAGTCTCATTCTTCTCGTTCTGAAAGATAACACAGAAATATTGATCAGAACTATAAAGAGCTACAAAAACCCTGAACCCCTAAAAAGAGCTTTTGTAGGAGCTTAAAAGCATCAGCATGAATAGTATTGAGAGCAGTATTTGCCTGTGTCCCAGATGAATTTATGTATAGGTACAAAGGTTTGGAGGGATTATCATAATCTAACCACATAAGCTGTGCGACAAGTAGCTCAGTGACTGCTGGGACTATCTGTTAACACGACAATATAAAATATGTTTCAACAACTGGAAGAAAGGATAATAAATTAAAGATATAAATATGTTTACATGCAGAATGTGAATGGCGCCTTACTGGCATGCCAAGGTAACAAATTCGAGCATCTAGCAGTAAAGATGGTAAGTCTGGAGGGGCAGTCCTTGGCCTCCCGTATCCTCGGGCTCCTCCACGATACATGCTCACGCTCATACTATACTTTGCGGGACCTTCAGTCATGCCTGTCTGGCTCCACATCCCTCCATTATCAAGATAATTCCTCGCAGATGAAATACTTGCCTACCATTGTACAAAAACCCATGTCATTCCTATTCCAATTTAAATATTTTTCAATAGCACCAACATTTCTCAACACCTCATTTGCAAAGTGAAATAAGGATTTTCTTAAAGTTTGATAAAACTCACACATACCTTCATGATTGCCAGATTGCCAGTTTGATCCATAAAGGATGGAAGGACATATAGCAAACTCATGAAATTTCCCATTCAATTTCTAAGGTATTCTACAATGGCATAATATTGGAGATGCATTATCAATCATCCCACTTTGATTTTATGAACAACATTATCCTCAATTCCGTTATCATGATGAATCATGAAGGACCTAATTATTCAAATGCATTCATACAGTGACCACATCTCATAGTTTCGTAAAGCTTCATTCCATGTTATTCTGTTTGCAACATGTTCATTTTAAATCCTTTGGACCTTTAAGGTTTGTCTCAACTTTCTACTTGGAAATTTTTGTTTAATACATATGGCATCAACAAGAATATGCCTAAGAAGTTATATGACGCATTTATTCTTTATATGCCTCATTATAAAATATTAAATTAGTTTCATATGCAAATATCAAACATAATAATGACTATTAATAAAATCCTTAAATTATTGCAATGCATTTTATTAGAAAGCCTATGCGTAAGATAGTTCTCTCGGTCCCCAAACTTTTGCACTTGGGGTTCAAGACAAACTCTATAAGATATGCTCACTGTTTTCCTTTTCTTCAAGCTTATTCCTATCCAAATTCCGGATTTTAAGACCCAAGAAGTCATGAAAAAGAGAAACATAGTGTCAGCATAAGTGTCAGTTTTAGTGTGTGTGTCAGTTTCAATATAGTTAGTGTGTCAGTATGAGATTAATGGGTACCATACGTTATATGAGATTAATGGGTGCCATACATTATAGTGAGGTCAATGGGTCTCATATGTCACATAAGGAATTCCTTCATGCACAATGATGTGGCTCAATCTAGGGGAAGGCTTAGACCAGCCCATAGTGGACCTGCCTCAACCCAGCCCACAATATACCCGGGTCCCGGGCAGGTCTGGGTCCTGCTCCAACCCCGAGGACAAAGGAGCAAGCCCAGCCCAGCCTACGCCCGACCTGGCCTACTCATGACCCAGCTCGGCCCAGCTCAACCCGAATAGTTATATTTTTTGAGCAGTTTATTAGAATGTCATTTAGTAAGAATTTGGTAGTCTTATTATAAGAAGCAACAGTTACCAATTTACGTAATAAATGCCCATGATAAGCTCAAACTGACTAATTGTATGTGAGATGCATGTAAGCTATAAAACAAAATTGTAAGACAAACTGAATTAAGCTAGATTGGTTTCTTCCTCCAACTTGACAACAGAGGGCAATAAAAGGGAATAAAAGGGGGGCAATAAAGGAAATAAAGGGAGGCAACAAATGGACTCAATGTTGGTGGATCACTAACCCTTTATAGTTTTGATCCAGATTTGTGAGGAATCCACAAGAATGAGAGTTGAAAGCAGTGAGATGGTTTACTTGAGAGTTGAGACTCAACAGTTGATGAGTTAAAAGCTAAGAATCGCTTCACTTTGAGAGAGATAAGGGCTAGAGAGTTCTGAATTTGATGAGTGAGTAAAAAGAGAGTTGAGTGTGAGGAGAGAAGAGGGGTGGGGTGGGAAATTATAGGAAAAATAAAAGTAGAATAGCAAAAAAAAAAAAACAGTCCAGAGAACCTTTTATTTTTTTTACATTTTCCCAACAGTAGTAGCCGGAACCAGATCTTTATCTCGGGGGGGGGGGGGGGGGGGGGCAAGAATCCAAGATCACTATGTTCTCCTTATTTACTTCGTTGAACAAAAGAACAATTAATTTAAAAAGACAAAGTTATCTACTACGCACAACTCTTAGGATGCATCTCACACACAATCTCTGATATTTGTGAAGAATCAGGCAGCATCTACTTAACAAGATAATCAACAAAATTCGAGTATTATACTACCATAGCATCTCTCTCTCTCTCTCTCTCTCTCTCTATATATATAATATATATATATATATATATATATATATATATATATATATATATATATATATATATTATATAATATTTAATATATCATGTATATCGCGCAAAACCATAGGGTTTCCTAGGAATATATTTGCTCTGGTTGCTTGTAAAGAAATTAACTGAATAAATGCAAAGCCTACTGCAATTTTTCGAAAAGTGCAAGCAGAGTCCATCTTCTTCTTTGTAGTAGTGATTTTATATGTTGCGAATAGGACCCAATCTAATAAGATAATCTAGGCACAAATGGTACATAGAGCCTTTTGCAAGTGAGACCCATACAATTTGATCCATGGGCTTGTCTATGGGAAGGTTATTGGCTACAAGAGCTTAATTCATAATTAAAAACTTGGGGGGGGGGGGGGGGCAAGGCACCCACCAGAAGCTATGCATAGCTCCGGCCTTGGCCAGCAACATAAAAAGGAATAGTTATTACCCTTCAGTTGTTTTCAAGCTAGTTAATAGTTACCTATTTAGTTTTTTAGTCACACTGATATAACTACATAGCACTTCTCTATATCTAAGACCCACTGCATTATCTCCCAGGAAGAAGAATGAAGTAATACAGGTAAAATGTTAAGTCTTCGGAATATCCATATACCACTTTAATCCACTTCAAAATAATACCAAATGAAATTTAGATATAAGTTGGAAGTTTAGAACAGTGATCCAAAATAAGTTAGCAATAAGTTTAAATTATTAGTAAAAAAATGACCAAATTTCCCAACACGGGATAATGACTCACCTCTGTGACTTTTTCTGCCTGCCGCTTAACAGGACTATCTTCCGTCATGAACATGTCCATTTGTGAAGCATTAAGGCCATAAAGGTGTCTGGGAACATTCTTATAATTGTCCATCACTGTGTAATAAAAAGAGAGAATTTCAAAAAAAGACGACGAGAAAAGAAAAATAGATTGCTGCAGCAGTTGTTACCGCCAATGGAGCTGTCATGATGTTTGTAGTAAAACAATGTTCACATGAAGGTACCAAAAACAAAGCTCGTTCACTAAATAGATACAGAAAAAGTACAATAATTGTGGTGGTAATTAAATTTTAGAAGCATTTGGCTTTCTTTCATGAATCCATCAGCTAAGTGGCTTACTCTGTCTACTGCAAATTATCATAGGAGAGTCAATTGTCCTGATTGATACTAATCATTGGACAACCTTGGGTTTAAGTGTAACTTCTTAATAGAAGCGTCAAGTTGAAGAGTGGAACACTAGATCATCTAGGTATTATTATAATATTTTTGATGGAGGTGGATGTTTGAAGAAGATAGAAAAACAGAGAAGTGATGGAAGTTTGATGTTAGTTTAATTGATCTACAGTTGCACTTCAGAACTTTTTCTTTAGATCAGGTACATAATTCTTTAATGTTGTGGGTAATTCAAATAAATGAATATTAATTTTAAACATCAGCTTTTTCTTTAATCTTCATGAAAATCTTGTTTCCTTGGACAGTCAAACCAGGTTCACATTAGAGTAGCATTACCCAATATTATGATGAAAACTATCATCTAGAACGCATGACCTAATTGGGTCAATACAACCTCAGCAATGCACCTGTGTAGATAGTCCAAATGGATACAATAGGTAGGGTACAAGGTAAATCTTTTGAAAAAAAAAAAGATAGGAGTACATTGTACAAATAGAAAAATAAAATCATACATGTGTGTATTAAATTATTAATGCTCATTATCGATAGAATAAATGAAGGCTAGAACAGTTAAAATAGCACAACATATTGAATAAAATATTTTCTAGTCATACAATTTAATAGTTGCTAGAAATTTATATAGTTGTAAATCATGTAAACTCAAATAAAATTTTGAACCCATCATTCATAACTTTGATTTTTGACTTATTCTTCTCAAAAGAATATATAATGTCTCTGCTATGTCTAGAGTTCATTGCAACTTATAACATTCATTAAAAAATGTACCAGAGTCAATATGGGAATGACTACTTTGAGGAAGTATCATGCAACATATACACAAGAGCAACTTGCAACAATTGATAGGACATTATGTGTTCTTTTTATGTGCAGGTCGAAGGAATAATCTAATATAGTAAATGCAACCTAACCCACCTAGCCAAATCAAATAAAGGACGAATGACATGAAAGGCTTTTGGCTTCAAACAAACTCATGTAAGATGATGCAAGAAATGACAGTGTAAAAAACCACGACTAAATGTACAGTTATGATTGAAAGGATAAGAAAAACAACTGTTATTATATTGTAGAAACAAGGAAATGCTGTTGCGAATCCATTTATCCAACATTCAGTAGTAATTTTCAGTGACTACATGGGTGTGTTCGATTACAAGTAGTTAGAACAAAAAATGCATTTAGAACATATTGCAGAACCAACTGAAGTTGTTGGAAAACTCTTCAACTTGAACTTTGTTTGCAACTTTCTGTTTTTATCCTATTCTGCTTCTCAATTGTTTTTTTGTGTTGCAACAACATCCAACTAAATATGTACGTTTGAATTTGAATGTAGTTGAAACAATGTAAGGCTCCAACTGCTTCAATACAAAGAAATCCTATATTTACTCGCTAATCGTGAATTTTTTATTGAAAGATTTCTCGAAATTTATATTCTTTTGGTACTCGTGTTAAATTCTTTCTACACATCTAAGTAAAGGAGAGGCTTGCTAAACATGCTTGTATTTAGTGATGCTCCTTGCACATAATTTTGCAGAGTTTATTGCATGTTCATAAAGAACCTCCTAAAAATTCTATAATGTTTCGTGTTTGTTTGCATATCCCTGATATTGTAGAGTCATCACAAAAATCTGAACATTTTAGTTCTAATTCGAGGCAGGAATTTTTGGAGAAGATTTTCAACGGTTAGCTTGGTGTAGTTGCTCTTTTCAAATTAATTTCATTAACTGGAGACAATTTGATTAATGAGGAAAATATCCTCTACTAGATGTATTTCGAACTATCTAGACATCAAACCCTAAATTATCATATCCTGGCAAGGCAAAATATGATGTCCTTTGGCTTTTAAGGTAAATTATGTAGCTAAGCATCATGATGTTAGCTCAATTTGAACTACACCTCAAATGTAAGCACCATATGCCAAATATTGTTCATATCTTCTGCTGGATAACAAGTAAGAGGTTGTAGTTATGTCTACATTAATTCTTAAATGAATAGAAAGCTTTGAGTTACTATATGCTAATCCTTGTAAACTATTCTAGATCATGGCCCTCCAGATAAGCACAATTCATTTCCTAAAGATTTTATTCTTTATTTTTCTAAGCAAAAATAAAATAAAAGATCTCTTTTTACTAGTTTCATTGCATCCCGTGCAATGCAAGGAACTTGATTATAAAAATGTTGTTACATTCATAAGTTTCAAAATTATTTTAGATGTAAAAACATAGAAGAAAAATAATGCATAAAAAACTGAATCAAATAATAAATAAATTTAGAGATTCTCGATTTTCATGACGTGGAAGTTATTCATTGAGTTGAGTCTATGAAAAATAATGGTTAGACATTAATTAGGGAGGTTTTCTTAAGAAAATATTAACTAGGGATGTTAAAATGTCGAAGGTCTAGGAAGATGCCAAGTGGCAGAAAATGCAACAATAGGCTCTTGTTTTAGAAATACACAAAGATTCATTGTTATTGATGAATTTCATAGAAACCAAAAGGTTTCAGTGTTTACGAACAACTTTATACAAGTATTTTTTTCCTTCATATTTGCACCCTCTGGTAGTCTAACAAGTTTACATGATATAGTGACTTTGGAGCAATCTCAATTCCAGATAAACTAATCATGGCATTGTGAGTTTCTATATTCTTGCCCGCCCGCCTTTCAACTATTGTAGCTTCATTGGCTCTTATATCAATCTAAATTTTACACCAAATGAAATAGTATTTATTTCAGATGTTAATCTATGATTAGTTATTCTTCGTAAAAATTGTTAAAACATATAGTAAATATAGAGGTTGTCACAATCACCTGCTTAGTTTGACTTGAAGACTAGTTCCACCTATTTCCCATTTGTGTTGAGTTTCTCAAGTTGCCAACATTCTTGGAATTGGTGATGAATTGTACATTTCCATATAGTAAATATTTGATGTCATTACCAACTTTGCCTCGTTCTCAAGGCTCTCTATTTGGTTTTACTAGAGGAGAAAGGTTCTAAAACTCAGTGGAATTAACTCTTTGTCTCCTTCCCCAAGGTTTTAATAGGGAACAAGCAAAAACAAGACAATAAAAGAAGTATGGGTATTTATAGGCCCAAAGGACTTAATTTACATCTAGATCAAACACTTCACATGAACATAATTTCACTAAAATTCTCAAATCCAATCAATCAAACAAAACAAAATAATAGAAATATGGTATTCATAGGCCAAAGGATTCAATTTACATGACAGTAAAATTCCCAAACATAATTAACTAGAACGGTAAATTAACTATAATTCTAAATAAATTAGTTGACTTTCATAAATAAGGCTACAAGAAAAACAAAATACTAAAATTTCTGATAATAAACCACCAGAATCCCACTAATACAAAGATTTTTCTTCAATCCAAATCAGTCTAGAATTTCTTCAAGTCCAATGAAACCAAAACTTCTCCGCCTACAATCGAACTATAATTCTTCCAATCAAATAAGATTCAAACTAACTACTTCGAACCCTTTTAATTTCATGCTGAACTCTTTAAATCTAATGAGTAAGTTCTCTCGACCGTGGAACGTAATACATCAATTGAGAAGTCAATGTGGATTCCAAGAACATATCCACACAAGAAAAAGCTTTTGACACATGAAAAATCTACACTATTCCAAGAACCCTTATTTAATTTCATGTTAACTCCCCCATCTCAATATAGCTAAACTACATGAATCTAAACCATAGCTAAAGCTAAAATAATAAATAAAGTCAGAGCTCGAACCTAAGCAATAGCTAAAATATGAACATTTAAGCACTGTAATTAAATAAGGTGGAGGGCGTGCACCTAAAAACAGTTTTTCTAAATCACCTAAGAAAATTAGTTTTCATATCAGCATTAAAACCCTAAATCGCTACTCGAAGAGAATCAAGACGAACTCACATCCGTCCCTGAGGTTCTCCTCCCTGAACTGCTTCGGTATGTGATCGAAATCGTTGGGGCCAATCGCCGCCTGAGACCTCACCCTCAGGCTCGAGTTCATTCTAGAAGAAGGAGGAGGAGGAGGTGAAGGGGAGGAGATGAGGAGCTTGGATCCGAAGAGAGAGGTTTTCGAGGCTGAGGGCGAGGAGAGGGGAGTGGCGGGGACCGAGAGGGATGAGGGGAGAGAGATCGCCATGGATTTTTGAGAGTTGCGAAAAGGTTAGGGTTTTCGTTTGTTGGAGCTCAGAGAGATAGGCTTGAGAAAATCTAGGGCTGTAAATTGTGTAGGTGAAAGTCACTGGAAAAGGAGAAGGGGCCAAAAAAAAAAAAAAACAAGAGTTCTTGCGATATTAGCCCCTCAGATCTTCAACCATTCCGGTTGGTGGCTAAAATCTCAATTAATAATTGCTCGTTAGTCCCTCAAATCCTAGGGAGCGCTTGCAATTTGGTCCCATGCCGATCAAAATACTCCTTGGTTATAATTTTACCTTCAAACTTATTATCGTTAAAAAAAAGTTATTTGTACTTTGATACTCTAAAGTTTATGCATTTTTAGCTTCAGTTAATAACTCACAGTTTTCCGACACTTCAACACTCTGAAGTTAGGAACGTTTCTTAACTTTGATATCTTTAAGTTCTTTTCCTGACACTTTTGATACTCTTTTCACTTCGTTTTGTTTTTATTATTTTTTGGCACTTTTATACCCCCAAAGTTTGGGGTATAGAGTTAAAAAATGTATAAGCTTTGAGTATGAAAATAAAAAATTGTGGAATCTTAGGGGTATGTAGTTAAAAAATGTGTAAACTGGGGGTATCAAAGTGTTCAAAAAAATTTGGGGTATCAAAGTGAAACGAATGTAGTTTTTAGGGTATCAAAGTGTTAGGAAAAAAACTTTTGACTATTAAAATTTTAAAAACTATAACTATAGATTTGCTTACGGTGGTTTGGTCATTGAGGGGTCAAATTGCAATAACACTAGGATTTTATTATTTTAAGGACTAGTGAGCAATTTCATAGATGTAAGGGACTAGTATGGAACTATTGAAGAGAGACTAACATCTAAATCTAAATAACAAAAGAAACATCTTTATTAACACAATAGAATTTTTAAATATATACCTCTTATTGTTATAATTATGGTTTTACCCTCTAAACTACATAGTAAATTCGGCTACGTCACAAAATTTAGCATTTTTCGTGGGACCATATTTTCAATATGATATTCTTTTTCTTTTATTTGCAATATTATGGTGTTAGTATCAAATTAATACCAGTTTGATTATGTTTTTTTTTTCTACTACTAAATATATCAATCTATCCTCTCCGAAATCTATCTATTCAGTAAATTGTAAATAGCCATCCATGATTTATAGGTCAGCACATTTGACTAAGTAGTCCAACGGAGGGACTAACTTGTAGGAACTTACAAAGTTTTGAGAACCTAATAGCAATTTCATTGATATCAGGGGGCTAATTTCAGAGGTAGAAAGGTGTAAGGGACTAATATATAAAAAGCTCCCCAAAAAAAAGGGAAGACGTTATCTACTTCCACGTTAGTGTTGTAGCGTGTGGATCCTCTCTCTCTCTCTCTCTCTCCTCTGCATGTTCACCGTCTGCTTCTCTCATCGCCATCTCATCTCCCTCCATCGATGGCAGCCNACGGGGATCCTCCCCTTCTTCTCCCTTGGGCGACGGCGGCTCCTCATCGTCCCCCGTACGCCGAAACAATCACCCATTTTTATGTTTTTTTGGGGAATTTTTTTTGGGATTTTTCCCGTTGATTTCTTATTGTTTGCGTTGGCAGCTTGATTATGATGCTTCAGGAGAGCTCTTGGGCTTGGATGTGGATCTTCATCCGAGGTACTGGACGAAAATTACGTGCTGACTTTGCTCCATTTTGATTTATGTTTGTTAAACAATTAAATCCGTTTACGATGATACCATGTAATTATGCACAAAAAGATGCGTTCTTTTTGACCTGTATAGTCTGTGAATTTTACCCTCAAATCTAGATATTTGCTGACTTACCCGCTAGGTCTACCGCATTGAGTTAGAATACCCCGGGAGCCCGATATCGTCAGTTTTTGTGAGGGGAGGGGGAATTTCAGCAAAATAACCACGTAAAAATTAGGAATATATTGAAAATGTTTGCTCTATGTGGTAGAATTAGAAGGGTGAGCTAGCGAATATCTATATTTGGAGAGTAAATTTGCGATTATGGTTGATTTGGAGGGTGTATAGGTCAGAGTCATCAAAGCCTTTATTAATATCGTGGAGACGTTCCTTAATGCAAAGTTTGGGGTACTTTAACTCTGTGTTGTATATTTGAGGGTTAAGTAGCAAATGTCTATATTTGGAGGGTGAAGTTGCAATTATGGTTTATTTGGGGTATATATGTAGAGAAGCCAGATGATATCGTCAAGGGTCAATAAGTCAATCATAAATGACAAGGGGAAACTTTAAATGTGGTAAATACTCTTATCGTTATTTTAGTATACAACTTCACATATGGTAAAATACTTGTGTCTGTACTTGTATTGTGTCAAAAGATATATAATGCCATGTGAAAACTGGTACCTTTCAGACAATGAATGTATATCAAATTAGCAATAGATTTGTGTCCTTCTCTCAAAGGTGTTATGGAAACAGGGTCAGCGTTTATTTTACTCGATCTCCCATATATCCTATCACCACCAAATGTCGTCATTAATCACGAAACAATATAAACAAAATTCTTATATCCCATGAAATAAATGAAAATCTTAGACCAAAATAAACTATTTCCATGCAATTCAATGTTATCTACATGTGATGTTGGACCTCAAAGAGTTGTCTTTCTTTTTGTTTTCGAGGATTGTTTGACCATACTTCAGTCATTATTTCTTTGTGATGCGTCCTTTGTATTGTTCTTAGACTCTTAGTCATGCCTTAAATTACAAAACTAATTATAATATCTCCAATTTCTAATGCAAACATTTTTCACTTGCCAGTTGCCACGATAGAATGTTAACCATTTAGACTTAGCTCTAACTCTGTTAACACACTTGTGAGAACATTTTTCTTCCAATTTTATTTTGAGAAATAGATAGACAATTATCTTGGTTAATATCTCTGACCTTCACTTGCAACTGCTTTGAGGTTACTTTGCATTCCATCCTAGGGGGTACCTGGTATTTTCTATTATTCGAATGCAAGCAGTTTTCTTAGTCAAGATGCACGATTGCAGAAAAACACAACATATATCAGTGAAGATGGACGTTGCGTTATAATTGAAATCCAAAGAGAACAAATAATTAACTACAATGTTATTTTAATTACAAATACATTTTTGTATGAGAAATGCTCTATTTACAAACCATTATTATTCATGGCAGTGTTGTTGCATGATCAGATTAGAATAATGCAAGTTCATTAGTATTCAGTATTCACAAATAATTTATTGACTTTTTTCTCTCTTTAGGAAGATCATTCCTGGCCCTGCAAAACTAAGGTCCTGGTTTGGTCCAAATGGCCAATACATAAGAGAGTTACCCTGTCCTAGTTGCAGAGGCAGAGGTTATACACCATGTACAGAGTGTGGTGTTGAAAGATCAAGATCAGACTGCGCACAATGTAGTGGAAAGGTGGTTAACTTTACTAGTTCTTTTTAATAATAATATTTGAGGACGAATTTGCTATATCTCGCTTTCACATGGTGTTAATTTAATCTCTCAAGGAAACAGGTTGGGAATTATCTCTCATCTTTTTTTAAATTACATGCCAGATTAATCATTTTATCAAAAGTTTGCTTCAGTTGCATATTGTATGTTTTAAGTGAAGATCAATTAGTTTCGTTTGACTTTTAACTAAGAAAATTGGTTTAATAGAGCTGAACGTAAAAAATATTCAGATTTGGGATAATGACTTCGACATTATAATACTTATCTATGTAACTACAAGTGGATCCTGGAGTATTGTCATAACATCTGCTTGCAAGATGTGTCATGCAGCTAGAAGGCATGGTATATTAAAGCTAAAGCTGATGGAATTTAGTCTCTTACCACGTAATATATAACATACATCTTATTCTAAAACGTACATTTCACACCTACATTTTGCCTGTCTTTTCTCTTAATATACTTCTTAGAGTTGATTTATGTATAGTAATTATCTGGCTTTTGATGAAGTTTCAGTTTCCTGACCTATCAACTGGTATTGAGTTGTGGAAATAGTTCTCCCCTTCTTGTACGCTATTTATATGTTTGTATAATTTGTGAATCCGGAAAGCACTAAATATTTATGTTACAGCATATATATCCTGACAGCTACAATACATGAGCTTTGTGCTTGATGATTACAGGGGATAAGGACTTGTTTACAATGTTTTGGAGATCGCGTAATATGGGAAGAATCAATTGATGAGCGGCCATGGGAGAAAGCTCGATCTATGTAAATTCTATCCTTAAAAATTGCCAAGGGATATAATACATTCTATATATAATATATTATTAATTTTGATCTCTTCATAGTATATTTTTTGTGACTGCTTGATTGTACAAATTGCTATTGCAAATTTTCAGTTTTGCAGACACCTTTGTGCAGCTTACTTTTCTTGCATTAATTATCTTGGATTAATTCTATTTTATCAACATCAACAAAAACAACAAAGCCTTTATCCCTACTTTTTTGGTTGCCTACTTGAAACCCGTTTTTCTATATTCTTATGGGTCATCTATTCCATTAAGTTTACTATTTTTTATATCTTTCTTACCTGTTACAAATCAAGTTCTTTTAGGTCTACCCTAATCCTGTTTGCCCCTATAACTACCCCTTTTCCGATTTTGTGGTGTCCATTGTATATGACAAAACCATCGCAATTGATTCTCTCTCATTTTGTCCTCAGTAGTTGCACCTCCAATCTCCTGCAAATACACTCATTTCTTGTCCTAACTTTTATTGTATATCCAACTTTTATTGTATATCCACAAGACCATCATAACATTCTCATTTTTGCTATGCTCGTTTATTCAATATTATCACCATATCTATCTCATATGATGTTCTGGTCTTAACAATCCTCACATAATTTAGTTTATGATTCATGCTGTACTTTATCTTCTGTAGTAAACCAATGCAATAAAATTGAAGATTGTTCCAATGTCTTTAAGGCAGACTTATCTCCAATTATTGTTCTTTTTGCAGCTCTCCACTTAAAATGAAGGAAGATGATGAAGTTGATAAGATGGAGATAAAAGTTAATGTTACAAGAAAATCAAAAAGAATATACCAGTCACCATCTCCTGAAGTTAGTCTGAAGATTAGCAGATCACTAAGAGTTAGTTGCTTACTCAAAACTTTCTCTTCACAAATTTCAATAGTAGTCTCTTTAGCTTCTTGTGAGACTTTATCACTATGTTTTATTGATAATTGGCATCATGTGGCCATGGAAGAGCACTTTTCTGGTTTGTCCACATATAGGCCTCCCATAACACCTATTGGACAAAGCAAAATTCACCTGATTTCATAATCTAATTTTTTAGAAGAATGTCCATCAATTTGGATGTGAATTCCATGATTTGTTACAGATTTCATCTTTTTCGAAGTAATGAACAATAGTAACTACAGGAACGATAAAACCCTCAGCCCAAATCTTTCGGTTGGCACACACCACTTTTTTTCCCTTCTATTCTATTACGGGCTTTATTGGAGAAGTGTTGAATAAAATCCAGAACAGTAGGATACTTTTATATATTAACATTCCTTGTTTAAAAGAAACAAACTGGGGACAAGTCTAAGATATAGTAAAATTACTAGAAACTGTTCAGAACAGCCTATACTCAGAAGGAAGAACATCAAATGTGTTGGGGATTCGAAACAATCAAATCGAATCCGTACCCTTCCGGATCTTGTGTTTGAGAGTTGAGCAAGAAAGAAATCCACCACAAATCAAAGATAAAAACTTGTAGGAAATAAGAATAAAAAGAACACACGGATTTAACGAGGTTCGGCAACTTGCCTACGTCCTCGGGAGCCACACCACACAATTCCTTTGATTAATTGAAGAAGGAATACAATCACTCAAACTAGGGTTTAATCTCTTTGAGATTCTCTCTCAAAAGCTCTCTTTTTCTTGTCTTTTGACTTTTTTCGACATTCTAATTAGCCCTAGAAACATATAGGTATATATATGAATCCCAGCCCAAATAGAATTCAAAACAGTTTAGGAAACTGTCAGCTCGACTCGCGGTCGACTGCCGAACCAGTCGCGGTTGACCGGATAAACGACAGAAACTCAAAAACGCCTACAGGGTCTCGCGGTGGACCGGACCATCTGTCGCGGTCGACCGGAAAAAGTCCAGAGACTTTTCCTGTCTCGTGCACGTTCGCGGTCGACCGTACCAACCGCCGCGGTCGACCGTAGCTTGTCTTGACTGTTTCCTTCGTCTTTCTGATTCCAGCTTCGGCTTCAGCTTTGGGTCTACACTTAGACTAACAAAATGAACTTGCTTCATCCACTAAATTGTCACCCTTTCCATATTTTAGCATCTAACCTTTTCTATTAAATCTCTTGTGCGTAAACTTAAAAGAATGCACATATACCATACCTACTCAGAAGGACAAGGATTATTATAGCATATTCTTTGATAATTTGATAAATCTCTCTCATAAAGGCACGAGTACTATATTCCTTCAATTTTTTGATATTAATTGTTTGTTTGACAAAATATTTGCTGCATATTATAACAAATTTACATCGTTTATTTTAGGATTATTTGCAATTGATACCCCAAAGTTTGCATCGTTTTAAACTTTGATACCACAAGTTTTCTGCCCAAAAATTACTCGAAAGTCCAAAATAGTGTAACTTTGATACACAAATAAAATGACTTATCTGGTGGTTTCAAAGTTAAAATTCTTTGAACTTTGGGATATTTTTTTTAGCGAAAAAAGAAAAAGGTATTAAAGTTAAAAATGATAGGGCATTTAAGTACAAATAATCCTTTATTTTGAACAATCCAATATCCGCGTTGCTTACTGTTGTTGATTAGTTTAATAATTGCAGATTCTCAATGCCAAAACAGGGTTATTTAGTAAGCGGATGAAGATCATACACCAGGACCCTGTGTTGCACGCTCAAAGAAGAGCTGCAATTAAGGTTTAAACAACTCTCTCATTAAAATTTAGTTTTGCATGTAGCAAAGATTTGGTCATTAATTTACTTTTCAAGTTACACCACTGAATCGAAAAAGCTAATAACATTGATATGCCTCGAGCAGAAAGCAAAAGGCACTGACGAAGCAAGGAAGCAAGCTTCAGAGTCTATGAAAGCTTTTTTCTCTGATCCGGAGAATCGCCTTAAAAGAAGCGTATCTATGAAAGGTCAGTTTCTTTCCACATCTTGTCTTATCCTAGAGCAGGGAGTCCTTAGTGCACCAGCTAGCTATCCCTGGATTATTTTCCGCTGTATTATACTTTTGAACTAGTTTATCAACTTTTGCCAATCCCAAATAACCAGTGGCATGTTAAAAATAGAGATGAAGTTTAATTTTTTTTTTCAATTTAAAAGAGAAGAGAGAGATATTTGGACATGGCGTCATCTTTC